CACACTAGACATTAGAAATGGCATTCGTGAGTGAAAATGTTCGACAGTATACTATTAATGTTGTTTTATATTGATATGGTTAGAAGTGCACATCCCTGGGATGAATACAGAAGTAGTCAGGCACTGCATTGTATTACCCACTGATGAATCTCTTGATAAAGTAGAAATAGGACACCATGGAGAGGTAAAGCCTTCGCTTTTAGGACAACCCAATAATTATATTTTGTTGTTTGGGGGGTGGTTAAAAACCAATTTTGATAGTATTATTAGGATGGGTCAAGTTTATGCTACATTGCATGACTCCAGAGAATTAATAGTGATGTTGTCCTTGTACCTTACAGGTATGGATGTGGCTTATTCTTTGATCATAGTCAAGAAGCCAACACCTGGTGTCATCACTACTGTTCAACTACATATCAGCCTTTCATGCTCTGGGGGTTTCAGCAGATAACAGAGATAATGTGATGTGTCAGAGCCATCCGCTTGCAGCAACAGCATGAACATCCTCTCCAGCTGCATCTTCAACATACTCTGATTAAATGGGACAAACATGCAGAATTGTAAAAAATTGAAAATGTCAAATATCAAAATAGATCAGGTAAAACCATGCATAAATTTGTGATATTTTACATAATGTGGCTACAACATCGATATATAAAACTTTGAAAGATTGAATGGTGCATAACACTGAAAAATGTATACAAAAAATATAAATCTTATAAAAATGGGTAAAAATATGTGCAACGTTATGTACATGATTGTAACAATGAGTATTTACAAAGCTTTGAGATTATGATAATCATTTAATCACACGTGGCCTCAACAAATTATGTCATTGTTCTGATGATCATTTGCTGCTGTTATAATGAAATGTTCCAGCATTTGGTACAGAAAAACAGATATCTCTTTCAAACTTACTGTCTATGGAATCAGGTACATGTAATATCATTGCAGAGATGAGTGATATTTACTTTGAGTTTTCGCACAAGGTATTTGAGGATTCATAGTTATTGCTACATTTTTGAAGATCATATCCATATGAGAGTATTTTCTCCAAACCACAGTTCTGTAAAGGAACTTGTGTCCCAAGACATCAGATTGTGAACAAGTAAGTAATGTATTGAGGCCTTGTCAACACTTGCATCATTCAAAATATCAGCAGTAAAAATCGGGGAAATTAATTGAATAATTGACACACAAAGATTAAAGGATATGATTTAACCTGATACCTTGTGTACAAATAAGAATATTTTCAAATATTAATATTAATACATATATGAAATAACTTCTTACCCTGGATACAGAAAAAATAAAACAAAATATTTTTTTGTAATAAAAGCTTTACATACTCTATTTTAAACACACTAATCTTATCTAAAGTCCCATCATCCACCATACTGTCTTATAGAAGGAATGAACAGCTTTTTTGTGTTCAATAAATGTTGAACATTTTGTGCACCATACATAAATTCACACATGACCAACATAACATTTCTTTAAAACTGGAATATTCACGTGATACAATTTAACATTCAAAAGGCAACATTAAAGTTTCCAAATGTTTAAAGTGTAAGTGTAAAGGAACAATCACAGATTGCAGAAAGACACAACACTTAGTGTTATTATAATTAATATATTCCAAATAGTTTGCAAATATACTGATGGAAAGAAATAACAGAACATGACCTACATCTCAAGAAGTAAAAGAACAATTGTTTCCTTGCTTATCACTATGATAAATCTCTCATGCCACAGTAATATGAAAGAATCAAGTCTTTTAATTTCTTTAAAAATTAATCTATTAGTCATTTGTTTGATGTTGGTGGCTGTAAAACCATACATTGGATTGTTTCAATCCAAACCTATGAGGGATTAAACTAAATGCAGTTGATGCCATTCTGCTAAATTCCTGTGTTTCCTTATTTTGACCATCAGTATATGTCATGTAACCAGATTTGTGAATATGATGTCAAATTACTTACATTTGCCGAAAACCTACTTTGATATGTTAAAGCAAATTTGGCATCTTCAGAAATACAGAAGCAATTGGTTCCCAAGGCAACCTCAAGGAAACCAGTTTGGAGCGCTGTGTTAAAGAGTTGAGTAAAGTGCTTCATGGGTGAGGGAATAATGACTTTAAGCTTTGAGGATGGACATAAATGAACTTTCCCGCAGGTAGAAAAATATACAAATATATTCAGGACAGGAATAAAACAGACATGACATGCATATTCTTTTTTGGAAAACTTGAGGCAAGAATTCTTAGTCTGATGGTGTTTCAGTTGTTATTAATTACTTATTTACTATTTGTAGTTCATTTATATGTATACTTTATTTTAGAAAATCACTCAAATGTGTATTTATTTTCAGTCACCAACGCTACAGTTTAGGAGAAGTAGAATTTGTAATAAACTGATATAGGACCCAAGTTGGGCCTGAGAACCAATGCCAATATTCATAGCCTAGTTCTTCATGCATCACAGTATATCATGATATAACTTTATAGCCTAGTTTCATCCTATATCACAGTATATCATGATATAACTTTATAGCCTAGTTTCATCCTATATCACAGTATATCATGCTATAACTTCATAGCCTAGTTTCATCCTATATCACAGTATATCATGATATAACTTTATAGCCAAGTTTCATCCGATATGAAAGTATATCATGATATATCTTGACAGCTGAGTTTCACCATATGTCATAATATATCATGATATATCTTCATATCCTAGTTTAATCACATATCACAATAAATTATGATATATCCTCACAGCCTAGTTTCATTATATATCATAGTATATCATGCATAATGTACAGGACCTGAGACACAGGAATGTAAGTGACAGTGACAAGAGAGATGACATTTCACAGCTTTAACTGCAAATTAAGGAAATTATAGGTTGTCAAGAAACATAAAAGGTTTTTAAAAAATCCTATTCTTTTATTGTAAGGATGAACTTACAATTAATTATCATATTTTATAAGGAAAGACTACATCGGTAAATGGAAACAGACTAAATCTAATAAATATTTTGAAAATACATTTCATGAATCACAGATACTATTTAAAAAATCACTTTTGAATTTGCCTCAAACAGCCTTGGTCAGTGACCTTCCAAGCCTTTGTTGTATTGACACGTAAGTAGTATACTTATTTTCTCACAAGAAAGATGGCAAATACTAGTCAATTAACTGACAAAAAACAAACAAAATAATATTCAATTTCAACAATTTCAAATGATGGTTCTCCATGCACTGACTTCCTTGGTTCTAGAATGAAAAATGTGATTTTATATACATGGATGGCAGACAGATGGATGATAGAGGATAGAATTATCCCAAGTTTAAGAGTGTTGCCTGTATACAGACCCAGACTGTGGGATCATTACTCAGCTGCATGGCCCCACTGATAGGAATCTCCACACTTTAAAGTTCCAGTCAACGTGTACATCCAAGAGCTTCCTCAGCTCTGAATATTCCGTATTATAAATGAGAGCCTATTCTGTCTACAGAGGAAGCACAGACACAGTTTTGGTGAAAAAACATCTGTTGTAAACTGATAAATACAGGCACAGCGGATGCAAGCTGCACCTGAGAACCAGTAATTTATCGTTATAGCCTAATCTAAAAATTATTGAAATTATGAAATATCCACAGAGATGATATCTAAATGATACAACCATAGTTTTTGGCCATGGATGTGTCTACAAATGGAACGTGCAAGATTTGTGGCTGCACTATGAATGAAATGCTGGGAATACAGAAATATAACTCTCAGCAGTAGAGAAGAATTAAGTCTAAAAGTGACTCAAAATTCAGAAAAGAAAAAATAATTTTTAGAAAACAAATTCTGATTGTAACACTCACTGACAAATAGCTTTCACCAGCACTCACAGATCCATAAAAAGTTGGTGTTGAGAAAAAGGAGATACAAATTGAAGAAAAGCTCCCAATAAAAGTCTAATAATAATGTTCAATCTATGATATGTTACACATAACTTAACAATGCATGCTGATTAGTACATATAGTTGTCAAGTACATTTAGCAATAACAGGCTTGTAAGAGGCTAATACATTAATCACTGTCCTAAATTGTACTCAAAACTAGCTATTCTACATCTAAGAATATTTGTTGAAAGGATCATTAAAAGGATGTTGATAAATAATGTGCTGAATCAACTAAAATACTATATACTGATTATGATAATCGATGTCAAGTTATTTTGATTTAATTATTTGTTCCATCTCTGTCATCTACCGGTACATATGGCAAGATATCACATGACCTGTGTCTAGCTAATTCGCACATTCAATCAATCTGACAAATTATATTCATGCTTAAAGGAAACAGAAAATATCTGAGAGGGCAAACCAAAATCACTGTTAGTTCATGGGACGGGTCTTGAACAAAATGGCCAGTTGTTTGGATAAAACATTCAATATACTTTAGAAATTCAACAATATTAGTTGCTGCAGATTCGTCATGACAACTGGACATGGTGTCGAGGGTTCATCACAAAAGTATTACAGACATAATGAGTGTAATACTTTTTGCTACATTTGGGCTAATCATATCTAACTTATTTATCGTTGATATTAACAAATAATGAGAACTCATTCTTGATGTTAAACTACAGTACTTAAATTCACTAATCAGTGTTATATTGCAAGCTGGGTAGAGAACATCAAGATAATTTGATATTGTAGATTGGCATTGACAGAGCAAGTACATACCATCCACAGAATAATACTGGAACTCCTCTTCAGGTTACTTTCGTGTGATCATATTTGAAATATCTACCTATGGATAAAATGTGCATGACGAGGCAAGATCCAAGATTGTCCATTAAAAGCCAGCTCTAAATCTAAAGCAATACTTTTAAAAGAATCAGGGATGGTGGGGTAGCCTTGTGGTTAAAGCGGTTGCTCGTCATGCCGAAGACCTGGGTTCGATTCCCTACATGGGTACACTGTGTGAAGCCCAATTCTGGTGTCCTTTGCCATGATATTGCTGGAATATTGCTAAAAGCGGCGTCAAACTAAACTCAGTCACTCACTCACTAAAAGAATCAGTATCAGTTTCCTCTCTGTCCAATTTCTGGGAAGATGACTGAAACTCGCCACGATTCTGTTTCGGCTTTTACATCTTGTGGGCAGGTGAGCTAAAAATCACAGATGGCACTCAATATTAATGGCTGACAGAGTTACATATCTATGTCTGTAACCAGGACATGAGCAGATGCTGAACTTGGAGTATTTCCAGAACTGCCCGGTCGAGAACTTACAAAAGTTCCTGGAGCTACGTTGGGTGAAAGGTCAACACCCTTTGGACGAGGATGAACCTCTGATATCACTACGCTCCCTGGACGTGACGCACCTGAAGTGGAGAGATCACCTCCTTGGTTAACAACACCTCTGCTTTTGTTCGTACTTGCACTATTTTTACTGGTTCCAGACTTTGTGTCTGTGTCAAGGCTTGGTGTGGACACAGAGCCCTCTAGTGACACAGTGCTGTCTGTCCCCACGGTTCTAGGGGAGACAACTGCTGTCTCTGACACCGGACTTGGGTTCTTCTCAGTCTTGGAGTTCATTATGCTGCCATTGGGCATGTTCTTCATCTCCAGGTTCTCCCCATTCTTGTTCAGCAGGGGAGCAGCATTGGATCCATTACTGTCTACAGAGCTGCCCTGCTTGACCGTTCCATTCTTGCTTGGACGTCGCTTGATAAACACACACTTTACTCTGCAAGCAACAGGTTAAAATTGCAGGAAAACGTTTCTGACAATTAAATGCTGATGTAAAGAGTTTTAAGAACATATTGCCCGTAAGCATACAATGAACAAGCATAATATTTGAGCAATTCCAATTAAAATCCAAATATAAAAACATTTTATGTTTTATTCATTTTATTGTTATTCACAAAGTTATATCAAGACAAGTTATATTGTATGGCCAAAACAGTGATGGAAAGTCCATATCTGTATTAAAGAAAACCAAGCAGGCAAGTGTGAAATCAAACTTCTCGTGTTCTTAAACAAAGGCATGTCCCAAAGAAAATTCAGCTTTAAGCAGTAATTTAAGCCAGGTGACGACTTGCTTGTTTGTTTTTTAATCATAAAACAGTATTCCAGCTGTATGATGGCAGACTGTAAGTAACACAGTTTGGACCAGACAGCCCCGTGATTGGCATCTTGTTGATCAGTCTATGCACCTGGGATGCAACAACTTGCAGCAACCACTGCAGGTGTCCTAACCACCACATCAGTTGTTGCTCTCAGGAACAGTTCTAACCCAGATCTTCACAAGGGAAAAGGTCAGGATTCTTAACAGGGTGACAGCCTAGTAATACTGATATCACTCACTGAACCGACACAGTGAGGCAGTATACCCTTTACCATGTATTTTACATCAGATGGAGGTTCAGAAAGTACAAAGGAAAATTATTCCTGCAGTTTCAATCATACAAAATCTCATGTTACTTACTTGTAGATGGCTTTGTTGATCAACCCCTTTGGTGGCCTAAAATTACAAAGCAATCTTGGATTCCCAACATGGACAGTCAGCACACCACCTGATTGTTTTATGTGCTTCCATTAATGATAAACTATAGTTATATGAAAGAATCGGGTGACCTGAAGTTTTTGAGGGTAGTATACATGAATAAACAAAATATTCCTAGATTTATACGGTGTGATCATTGTAAAACTTGTTAGAAATCATTTGTATATTTACTTATTCAGTTGTTTAATATTTCTTCTTCATGATTGGCTGCTAGAAACTGATTACTGCAATAAGGGAGTTAATGTGTCAACCAAAGGTTGTCTCCCCTTGAATGTTTAGTGTACGTACCCATTTCCAAATATGCTGTCAAACTCATCTCTGAAAAAGCAGAAAAGATAGTCATAACATAATAACATATCTTTGATAAAAGCAAATTTCTTAGTTCTGACAAAATCAGATAGTGTTGACACCAGGTGTTCTAAAATGAAACATTATTCTATTTATTCATGAATAAATTGCTGAGTATCTGCTGTCAAGTAGCATCTTTAAGTTTGGCAGGAGATTGATAATTATGTAAGACATGCTGGCCATTAATGAAAAGATTGGAGCCACACTGTACAATTCCAACAAGAAGCCAAAGTCATCAATATCCCCCTCAATGGCAAAATACTCTCAATGAATATGTCTACGAGTTATGACTATGTCAAATGTTTTGGCGTGTATATAGCTAAGTGAAAGGAGAGTACTGAAAAGGTTTCAAAGCTCTGCTCCAGAAAGGAGAACTACCACCAAATTCAGTTGAAGCCAAAATTGTTGCCATGGAAACACACACACACACAAAAAATCAGAAATCCAAAACTACCAAAGGGCACCAGTTCACCACTAGACCTACCTATGTATGAAATTTGGTGATGAAACAGTGAACAGTTTTAAAGTTCTGCTCCAGAAAAGAGTACTACCACCAATTTCAGTCTAAGTAAAACTTGTTGCCATGGAAACGCCAAAAATATCAGTGACTTATAAAACCTTCCAGGAACCTATCACCAGAGTCCGGACACAAACACCTGTCATCTACTTACGTAGTGTCATCACCGTCGTCATCAGGGAGATAGTACAACACAACTGACACAAACACCAGCAGAAACATCAGCGTCACAGAGTTATTTCCCTCCAGCATCCAGTCTGCATTCTGTAAAAGTGGGCATCTGTTACCTATGTTGTCTAGAGAGTGACCAGGGCTTCATCGAATGTGATCCATGTACATAGATAACAGAGTGTACACTCACATGGAGATTACAGGCTGTTGATGTTAGTGACCGTTCATAATTAATGGCTAGTGGGGGTCATGATGGTTTTAAGGGGAGGGATGGGGGTGTCACCCACTTTGTTCTGGGGAGGTAGGAGGGTCATCAATTTTGTACACATGTACTAAGTACTTTGGGGTCAGCAATTTTGTACAGTAATAAAACATTATGCGTAAAAATTATGGGAAAGGGGGCAGGGGGTCATTGATTTTGTACATGACATGCAGGGGGGTAACATACTTACTATTATTTTTTTTAGGGGGGGCATTCACATTGTACATGCTTCTCCATAAAAATCATCATCACCCCACTCACCCACCCACCTATCCCTTAACCATAAATTCTGAACGGTCCCTTAGGGTGCCTGTAGATTTCTAGAACTGGTGGACAGCATACTCATACAGCAAATTTTCATCACACCTTATATTTGTAATGTTTGCTACTTTATTTAGTTCAGTGTTTAGGATAATCCTGTTTTCAAGACCTCTAATAAAGACTATCATGAGATATCACCTGGAATTCTCCTTGCATGATATTTGCTGTTTTTTATGCCAAAATTTGAGCTAAATGACAAGTGTCTGTATATAATCAAGCGTGGACCAGAGACTCCAGTAATTGACAGCACTAACATTGATCTAACCAATAGGAATATGATGACATGCACCCACCAGGTCAGACAGCCGAACAGTCTGAAGCTGTTAGTCACATTTTACAGAGAGTATGGATGGGAAAACCAGTTCTAACCCAGATATCTTCAGGGCAATGATTATATCATTCTCTGAGTATGTACCTATTCATAATTATTTAAACAAATATAATTATTTTAATTTTGCACAAATATAGCAAACAATTACATTTTAACAGCCAAAGAATTTTAACTGTTCCTGATTGGAAAATACCCACCTCAAAGTCTGACAGCATATCACAGAAGCCGTAGACTAAAGCATCGTAGGCATCAGCCACAGGCCGACAGTTTCCCAGCTCATGGATCTGGAACATAATACAGCTTATATGTCATGGTGGCAACAGGGGAGATAACTCCTACTATGGTATGTTTACAAATAGTTGTCAATCAGTATTCCCAGCTATTAACATTGTTTGCTATAAAACACTTGTACTTGTCACAGCCCTGATTTTAAAGTTCAAGATCTAGAGTGAGGGTTAATGCATATTTTGTGACATGGTACTTCCAGTGTTGTGTGCTCATGGTAATGACTGTGCATTGGGACAATATTGAAAACCATTATAGTGTGTATCATGTGCAATCCTCAGGACAAAGCTGTGATTATTTTTTTAAAAAACACACACCTGTGCACTATACTCAAGAAAATACTATACTCTAGACAAAAAAATCAAAAGGACCCCACTACTGACTGACCCCACGTTTGATGACCCAGCTGTTGAAGGACCCCACTACAGGAGGATGCCAGTCTTGCAGGAACACACTTTAGGATGATATTACTACTGGAGGACCCCAGATAGTGAGTTCCTCCAACTATTAAAGGAATACACAATGAGTGTGTTCCCTGGAAAGTGAGTTCCTGTGACTATTGAAGGAATACACTATTGAAGGACCCCACTGTTGGAGGAACACACTATTGAAGGAACACATTATTGGAGGAACACATTATTGAAGGACCCCACTGTTGGAGGAACACACTATTGAAGGACCCCATTCTTGGAGGAACACACTATTGAAGGACCCCACTGTTGGAAGAACACACTATTGAAGGACCCCACTGTTGGAGGAACACACTATTGAAGGACCCCACTGTTGGAGGAACACATTATTGAAGGACCCCACTGTTGGAAGAACACACTATTGAAGGACCCCACTGTTGGTGGGGAACACACTATTGAAGGACCCCATTCTTGGAGGAACACATTATTGAAGGACCCCACTGTTGGAAGACCCCACTTTTGGAGGAACACACTATTGAAGGAACACACTGTTGGAGGAACACATTATTGAAGGAACACATTATTGAAGGACCCCACTGTTGGAGGAACACATTATTGAAGGATCCCACTGTTGGAGGAACACACTATTGAAGGAACACACTGTTGGAGGAACACACTATTGAAGGAACACATTATTGAAGGACCCCACTGTTGGAGGAACACACTATTGAAGGAACACATTATTGAAGGCACACACAGACAAAGAATTGAATTACCCTGCAAAGTTATTGTTTTCACAGTGTTCAGGTCAAGTAGAAGTATGCTAAGGTGAAATTTATATTGTTTAGAATGAAAAAGAACCCCAAAGCAATCAGGATCACATTAGCAAAAAGGTTGGTTGGTTGGTTTGTTGTTTAATGCCGCACTCAGCAATATTCCAGCTATATGCCATCGGTCTGTACATAATCGAGTCTGGACCAGAAAATCCAGTGATCAACATCATGAGCATCTTTCTCCACAACTGGGATACAATGTCATTTTTAAAGTCAGCGAGCCTGACCACCTGATCCCGTTTGTAGTAAAAAGGTAAAGATCCAAGTAAACACAACAAGAGTTGTATTGATACTACTAAATAACATGTAGTTGGCATAGTCCAAATACTCACCCAGTGTTCGCTTCGGTTCTTGTAGTCGGCATAGCTTGTCTTGAATGCTTGTCGGTACAGATCCACACCCTGTGGTGAAAACAACATGTTGTTACCCAAATAGTACTTCATAAACTGCTGACATAGCAAATTGTTGTGATACATGTGTATTGTGTTTCGACAAAGTGGTGAGCAGCACCCACCTTTCTGATCAACACTGACGATCTGGTTTGAAGACTTGGGTCCAGGGTTCTCAGTTTCCTCACTGCCGACTCAGTGACATTCTGTGAACAATAGCTACTACTTTAAATTCAATTTAATGTAAACTTTAAATTACAAAAGATACTAGTACATCACCACTGTGCTCTCACCTGAATATCTGTACTGTTATCCACATCCACTACACATATGTAGTAAACGTATTCTAATGGAAATGGAAATAGCATTGTGAAGTACTAGAATCTGCACCTTATTCAGAAAGTGAAATCCCAAATATAACATTTTACATCTGACCACTTTGTAAATGGCATTGTGTATTCATAGCATTGTGAAGTGACGTGAAGTCTACACGTGCCTGTGTGTACTAGCAGTGCTTCAGCCAGGATTGTTTGAGTGTACTAGCAGTGCTTCAGCCAGGATTTTTTGAGTGTTGCCACTGGGCACCTCAACTACTAACATGTATGCCAATGCAGTTGCGATTTTCGCCATTCACGGTAACCACAGTATAGAAGACCTGTGGGTTATACTAAATGTTGCGCCAATGGGTACGTTCTAGCATTGAAAAAAAGTGCCACTGCATATTTTTTAGTGTCAATGGCGCAATGGCGCTTGCCTGGCTCAAGCACTGTACTAGTCCAGACGAATGCTGGCTTTGTAGCACTAACCCAATAACGTACCAGGCCACAGTGGAACATGGATCACCCACGTACACTCCGTACACTGACTCCAAGCCCCCGCCCTTGTATAGAGCCAGGGTAACAACAAGTACCATCATGTAACATCTATTGGTATGGTGTAACTTTCAGAACTCAAGTGTACTTCTCTATCAGGCTTCCCTTACCTTGATATGCTCAACTTCTGATTTGTAGAGCTCAAATTCAGCCAAGACATTATTCTGTAAAATGTACACATAAAGTGGTGAAACTTAGGAACTATTTTATCACAGATGAAGCAACACATGAACTTTTTCATCTATTTTATCCATCCAAAGTACACAAGAAAAGCAAATATATAAGAAGATTGTTTATTTTGTTTAAGATGCGATCCTTCAGTTGGTCAAATCTCACCTTGAGAACAGTGACAGTTTGGATACTGCCTGTTAAACCCTGTAGACCATCTGCCACTTCCTCCAGATTAGCTGAAACAGATAGTCACAGATGAATGTACCCTCCCTTGATGGAATATCAATAATGACATAACACTAGTGTATATATTGCACACCTGTCACCAGGAAGGACAAAGGCTAGGCTGATTCATATTCTTGTTTGCAAAGAATCAAAGGAAAATTGCATAAGAAAACTTACAAAACATGCTTTGCAGAAATATGTTTTGTTTTACTTCTTTTTGTCCAAACTAATGTTTTAATATATGTCTTTCTTTTTTACTTTGGATCAACCAAGAAATTTTGGACTTTGGATCAACCAAGAAAAATTTTGGAAACATGTATCTGAATAACGTCTGACTTAACAAAATATATACTCTAAAAACATGTTTCTGTTCTGTACCTTGATTACAGGTTATTGTCAGGATGAATGCGAACATGGTGATCTATAGAGACTGGGTGGCAATACCTTTTAAAATTGCTAACTGTACTGAACAGTGGCACATGTAAAATCTCTTGCTCTGATAATTTTTCCACTATACCGGCCGTTTTCTTGTTGATTTTTTAAAATAAACAACATAATTAACATTGGAAAGTCAACTGGACACCGGTACAGTGTGATATACAAATTTGCTTGCCCGACAGAAAAAAACACTGGACTCGGACATCGGGCAATGGGTTATTTCCACCCCTGAGACTATGTTGGAGCTGACCTGCAGCAATTAGAACTGATATCCTGCACACATGCACTCTACCACTGAGCAGCTGCTTCACCCATGGAGGAACTATGCAGGCTGACATCCTGCACACATGCACTCTACCACTGAGCAGCTGCTTCATCCATGGAGGAACTATGCAGGCTGATATCATGCACACATGCACTCTACCACTGAGCAGCTGCTTCACCCATGGAGGAACTATGCAGGCTGACATCATGCACACATGCACTCTACCACTGAGCAGCTGCTTCACCCATGGAGGAACTATGCAGGCTGACATCATGCACACATGCACTCTACCACTGAGCAGCTACTTCACCCATGGAGGAACTATGCAGACTGACATGTTCAAACCATTCAAGTTTCAGTCCAGGAGAATTGAACATTGCAACAAGGAAGTCTCCACAACCCAAACTGAGATCACCTTAGCCGGAAACCTAGGTCCTCCTGAGCTCAATATAGTCCTGATGTTGTTGATGTAGTTGTTCACATCCGCTTTGATCACACCTGACTTGAGCTGGAACATGTGAAATATTACACGTGTTCCATCACCAGTGTCTATATCTGCATCTGTTCGTGACAAACACCAGCGTCCACTGGCACCATGCCATCACATGTAACCCCAAATATAACATACGCTACATATGACCACTTTCTAAATGTCTTTGTGTATTAAACATAGACTCACCACAGTCAGGTTACTAAGACTGATTTGAGGTAGATTCACGAAACTTGTACTGTGAAAACGTCATAAGGAATTAGAAGTCACCATTGACTTATCAGTTATTTGCTGCTGAATTTCTCTGCTGTGTGAGTGCATTTTGATTGGATGGCTACATAAGTATGACAAGCAAATGAATCCATGATATATATCCTGACAGAATTAAGACTTAATACACAGGACAACTGATGCTTGTATATGTACAAGGCGAAACTCAAACAATGAGCAGTGAAGAAGTGTGTGTTATAAACGTAATTGAAGGTTTACTTTGCTTGTAGTTATGGATACGTTTCATTGCCAGACACGTTCCCATCTGTGTTTGTGTAAGCGATACAATATTTCAGTGAATGGGTTCAAACCTCAGACCCTTGATTAGGTGAACACCTTGTCAACTTGGCCAAAAATTAATGCTGTCCCAATGTGTTGGATGCCACCAAGTATTAACTCACAATAACCTGTTCTCTGTGGCAAGTGAGTTTTCTTTCTACTCAAAGTGAAATTAAGTTCCTTAACAAAACCAATGCCTTGTAACTAGGTCAAGTCACAGCCAAGTCAGAGCGGTGGGGTGGCCTAGTGGTTAAAGTGTTGGCTCGTCATGCCAATGACACGGGTTTGATTCCCTGCATGGGCACAATGTGTGAAGCCCATTTCTGGTGTCCCCTGTCATGATAATGCTGGAATATTGCTAAAAGCGGCGTAAAACCATACTCACTCACTCACACCTGTCCTTGGAGTTGTGTGAGATGCTACAACTTACATTGAAATAGTTTGATAGTATTGCTAAAACATAGTCTGTCTAATAGTGCCTGAATTGCATTATTTTCCTTTCCATCCAGCCATTTCTGAAATGCTAAAGCTCTCAATAAAATTTCTTGATTTTCTCTGAATAAGTCTGCAAAATAAGTTGGAATCATACTGCTGTGGCAAGAATCACATTAAGCTGATACACTCTCACCAAAGTATATTTCCATTTTCGTTAGTATGTTTCATTGTTGCATCATTGCATGAAGTACAGACGTGGTATCATTGGGTACTAAATATAGAAGCTAGGTGGTGATGAGAGGTTCAGAAAACTACAAAAGAGAAACAAAATGCTATAATTTACTTTAAAAAAAATTAAATTAAGATGCTCAAGTTAATGATCTGCGCATACACATACTGCTAAAATGTAACCCATGTGTCAAGTTCTATGTTCATATATGACCTTGATAATAACTATTGTTACCATATTATGGTATCGGGAAAGGTCGAAGAAAGCTGCCGCATTGAAGTTTGAAATCCATGTCTCAAACTGAGAGGTGACCATTGAGACTCCACTAACATCTACGTACATCTTGTTGAAACTACTGTCCACAGTGCGGAAGGTCTGAAGAATACAAACACAGATTGTACATAACCTTCATTGTGACATCAATGGTTTAAAAACATGTAAATCAAAAGGGACATAGCATATGTCATCATTCATTTCTTAATGCTTCTTATATTTTCTGTGGTATGTATCCTGTTCAAAAGAAGTTAAAGAAAACATGGTTTACACATGGCCTTACTCATGGTCATGGTCATGGTCATGGTCATGGGTGTTCCTTAACTTCTTTTCAACAGTATATGAACCGGTGTAACAGGCCAAACTTTCCCCGTGGCCAAACCTTTAGCCTAGGCCAAACTTCCCCCCACTAGGCTTCATCTTCCCCAGGGAAAGTTTGTCCTAGGCCAAACTTTCCCCGGGGTAAGAATATCCTAGGACTAAACAAAGGTTTACAACGGGGAAGAAATGGCCTGCTACACCAGTTTGGAGATACAAAAGGATTACCATACATTGATGAAGTTACGGCTTTATAACGATTGGTTGCGATGTATAATGTCACATGACAAGAGACAACTGCAAATATAGTCAAGACATACGAACCTTTGCTAGTATTTTGTGTATGTATGATTATTACTTTACAGAATCCACCTCTTGGTTTAATGTTGTATAATACAGTGTTCAGCAGTTCCCCTGATAAATGATGGTGACACTTACGTCACATGTGTGTGTTTATTGTTAAATGCTGCCCTCTGCCATATGATAACAGCAGATATAGCATGGTGTGACATCCACCAAAATAAACTAGGTCATATATGTTCAAAACTTTGGTGGAACCAACAACAAAAGAGTAGCCTAAGTCAAGCTGAATTTACAATTTGAACTAAAACCCAACAGCTAAGGGCAACAACTCTAGACAACAATTTGAGGCGCCTTACGACATGACATGCCATCATTTCACACTGAATTTCCATGTGTTGACTGTAATATCACTTCTATTCTAATATGCCTTGGTAGTCAATAAACACTGATAGTAATAACCTTCTGATTATTTGTCCTAACCTCCCCCAGTGGTGTGACGTACCACTGCTCGTGCCATCTACTACTGGTTTGTCTAGTACAGACTTGAATATTAGCAGGTTGTTGTGGGGTATTGTCATGGAAACCAACATGCACACAATAAGGGACCGTTCATAATTTATGGCTAGGGGGATGATGATTTTAAGGGGGGTCACCCATTTTGTTCTGGGGAACTAGGGGGGTCATTAATTTTGTACACACATACTAGGGGGTCAGCAATTTTGTACATAAAAGTATGTTTAAAATTATGCTTAGAAATTATGGGAAGGGAAGGGGGGTCATTGATTTGTACATGACATGCAGGGGGGTCACTTATTTTGTACATAAATTTTAGGGGGGCGGGCCGTCATTCACAATGTACATGCTCCTCCATAAAAATCATCATCACCCCCCCAGCCATAAATTATGAACGGTCTCTAATCAATGCTCTCACAACTTTAGTCTGTTCGTCTTAAACAATGAACCAAATCTACTGTGCATCTACTTCATTGTTTCTTCAGCAAACTGTCACCTGTGTGTAATCCAGGTCCTGGAAGATTGTTGGAACAAGGTAACGTGAAAACAGCTGGTATGACCCTTCGTTCTTCAGACAGGATCTGAAACATGGAACACAGTGGTAAGACGAACAAGACATGTAATGATTAGTCTATTTCTGTCTCAGCTTCCATGACGCTGATCCATTCATAATGGATCATGTGTTTAGTTCTGCACATGTGGTGCCTGCACATATAGAACCACAATATTGTGCATTTCACCTGCATCTCACACTCTCAATCATTCATCTTGTGTTAAGTTCCAATCAGGAGACTCTGGCAAACGTGTCTGCGCTTGCCAGGACTTCCAACTGGAAATATTCAACTGAGGTGATTCCAACCCTTTCAACCGTCACTAAGCATGTCATTGAAGGCATGTCGTGTTTTTGAGGTGTCCTGCTATTGTACATCATACGTTTTCTAAATTGCCTCATGAATGACCACGTCGTCATATGAGCGAAATATTCTCAAGCACGACGTTAAACCCAATTTCACCTCACCACATGAATGACCAGTTTGCATTTCACCTCACAAATGAGGTGTTCATATTTGTTATAATTTACTTAACATGAACTGCAAAATCAAAAAGAAATCTGTAATATTATTACCTATCTGTACTTGCATTACATTCTGAACCTACCTGTACATTTCTGCAGATTTCATGGTGATATTTCCATTTCCCAGGAGGACAGACGACATGTAGTATCCGGGATGATTCCTCACTGCATTCGGGACATCAAGCACCTGAGTGAGTGAGTGAATGTATCTGATATCATGCAGAAAACTATACCACCTTTGTGACCGCAAACTAGATCAAGCAAAATGTTCTCATAATAGTTCCTTCAGCCACAAGAGTTCTCACTTGGGTGAAATCAAGCAATGTCTCCAAGGAGATACCATGATGTCAACCTCTCCTCTCCACCCCGGGACATATAAGTCGGAATGATGGTATAAAGAAATTGACTGCAAACAGACAATCAGATAAGGGGCAAGAGAACATGCCCAGACAGTGCATCATAGTGGCAAAGTTGACAATGACATGCATGACATCCATATGTCATTCCCGAAACCTACTGCACATCATTTGAATCAGACGTGACAGTGGCCTGCAGTAGGATAATCAACATATAATAATAATAATAATAATAATATGCATATTTATAATGCGCCCCTTCCACACCCTAAGGCATGCTCAAAGCGCTACATGGAGCTAATGTCATGTTTTCTGACGTATCAAGTTTAACTTCCAACTTCCATGACAAAACAAATACAGTTTGGAGACATCCTGACTGTTTAATGAAACATCATACTGCTTGATCGTTTTTTGGATGGACACAGTGGTATTTTGCAGTATCACAATGACAAACTAAACTGCACTCCACATTGTATGATCACAGGTCCATTGTCGGCTCCCCATCAGATGTGATCATCTAATTTCCATGTGCCAATGCTATATGAATTGAAAGAGATATCTTGATGATTCCAACTATCCCCTACACTCGTCAACTGTCTTGGAGTTTCAATATGCTATGTGTTGACATATTTGATATATAAATATATTTGGTGAGTTTCTCTAAAACTCCTGACTGGTCAGTTTTTGTCTCACCTCTGTCATGTACTGCAGTTTCTTTCCTGGCTCACACACAATCTTCTCCAGGTTGACCCCCGCATAGAAGGTCATCATGCAGAGGGCCATAAAGATCAGTGACAGCCCGATACAGCCGAACAGAACCCTGAGAAAACAGTAAATATCAGTTACTCACTGCATAGATGCAGAAAAGAGGTAATGAAATAACTATTTCAGCGGTCATTCAGCAGAAATAAAATACTTAGCCAAATTTCACTTGCACTGATTTGTATAATTAAGTACAATCAATAACATAAAACTAAAATTAAAAAGACACAAAATATTTAAGTTTTACTGACTTTTCAAAAACATTAAAAATTGTCCACTGTTGTTGGTAATAATTATTAAATTATAAGATATTTATACAGCGCACATATCCAACCAGTACCTGCGCAAGGTGTTCATCATAATGATCATCACAATTATTATTTCAGTGTTAAAGGGATTCATTGGCCTTGGTACTCAAATCCAGGCACATCCTAAATCAGCAACTACTCTCATTAGGGTTGACTTCTGACATGGACCCCTTGACTATTATACTTATACACACACAAAGGATGACTTGTTGTTGACTTACGCAATGTATAGGATGTAGGCAGGGTAGTAGTTGGGCTGTCCCCCTCGTCACGCCTCCCTCTTCCCTTTTACCGTCATGGTCAGTGCCATGTACAGAATTAAACACCCGACAAAGTTGATAAACACAAACACCCAGGTAAACCCATACCTGAAAATGCAAAGTATACATTATTGGGGGACATTCACTATCATTTCACTATCTCTGTTCAGATAGGTGTGTTTCGGAGTCAGAATCATCAATATTGTTTGAAGCATACATAAATGTGTTAAATAATGGAGCCATATGATTGTAGAGTTCTCTCCCTTTATACATACCTGACTGTGTCACTGACAACCAAACGTTTATCAAATTTTTGGAAGGATTCTCGAAACGCAGGGAAGTTAAAGACCTGAAATTAGAAATCATCTTGATAAAAGAATGATTCCGTTTGTATAAATGTTTGGGCAAATATTATTGCCTTTGAAAATATATGTGATATCACCTAATGATATTCCCAGTTATCACTCAGTATCAAGTGAATGTCATGTTACCAAATAATATCCATATATCACTGAATATCAGGGCCTAGATTTTCGAAGCTCTCTTAGCTCTAAGATCGTCGTAAGCACCATTCATCAACATTAACTTACGACGATCGTAGCGATAAGAGAGCTTTGAAAATCTAGGCGCTGGTGAATAAGTTATCGCAAGTTAATTTAGCTTAGCATATACACAGACTTCATTAAATAATAAGTATGCACTAGTGTTGATAAGGCAAATATGGTAAAAGCATCATAGTTTACATTTACTGTGAACAATAACTGCAAATATTATATGCCTACCAACTTCATAAACCCAGTAATTTACACAGAAGATACGATCACACATTGAAACAAGAATGACCGGCTGAGTGACAGTGAACATCAGACATTGAAGATGTCTGCCATTAATGATCTTGAAGTCAGTAGATGTCGGTTGTGCTCACCTTCCCAGTCGGGAACTTGAGTCCAGATATAGAGTTGGCTACAGTTGCACTGTACTGTGTTATTGTGTCATTCAACTCTGCAACATAAACAGGGGATGATATACCTGCATATATGTCAATGTATGGTCTTAATTAGGCTGGACCAATATTGTAAAATCATGATCAGGCAGCTGAGAGGATGCAGAAGGTAAGAAATAAAATATAAACTAATAAATCGATAATCACATCAGACTAATTTTCTGGAAGAAATCTAAGAAGTTATAACAACAAATATCACATTTTCAGTGAAACACTCAGTTCATTTCTTGTTTAACATTTGCAATAGTTTACTAATTAAATTGAGTTTATACAGTAATAATATTTCAAAAGATTCAATTAAGTCACACAAAAATAAATGAAATTTACATTTTTTAAGACAAATCATCTAGGCAGACAGAAATTAATTACAATATTTATCCATAAAACAACATTTTTATACTATTCAAACGCAGTTAAACAGTACCATTGTTTCCATGTGAGTTAAATGAATCTTTGGTTAATTGTATTTATTTGTAAATAATTTCCCTTTCAATAACATCCTTTTTCCAGAACAACAGGGAACAAAAGTATCATCAGCCCCAAGGTAGGAGAAAAACATTGTTTAAGCAGGACATGTACATTTAGGAAAAAATTATATCATACAAAAGAAAGAAGAAGACTTGATAAAATATTTAGATTAACTAACTTAAACGTAAGTTTGAAGCACTGAGTATGTTCACCATGCTGGTGCAGATGATATTTTCCTCCCAAGAGTTTTACAAAAAAGCAAACTTGCAAACGTTTGCAGAAGTTGAGAGCCTCTAATCAGTTTCTTTTTTGCCAAGATCAGGAAACTGGAGAGGACAGAAAGATAAAACGAGCCATCTGTCTAGGTTGTCTGATCCTTGTAGCTGGTGGAATTCAACTAAATGTCTGTGATACTTAAATCATTCTCCCAATTATTGAACCTGATAAAGGAAATTCTCTATTTGAAGAAATTATTTCCTGATATTCAGCATGTTTTTTTTAACATCTTTGAGGCACGTTCACCTTGATCATAATCTGCTTTACTACAGACGTGTCCAATGTATGGTTTGATCATTCTAACTGTGACACAATAATTTGGTTAACATAAAGAATGGACAAATAATTGGTTCTTTCTCAACACTAAAATTTTCAACAGAAATTTGTTTCAAGACATAAAAATAAACATTCCCTCATTTTACATGCATTAGTTTCAATAATGTTTGCTTTCCGTGCAAAAACCTTCGGCTGCATCTAATCTGAAATTGTCCATTGTCGAGATTTTAAAGAGCTTATGATGTTATTATGTAGAGAATATCATCTTCATGACTTTCATCATAAGTGTTGATATAGTTGACATTAAAGGACTTGAGGTTGAAATTCTATTTGAGAGCCAGCATCATTCTCCTTAGTTCAGTGCATGCAGAAGGACATTTGTCCACAAAACATTGGTCAGCTGAGCAAACTGGTTCACTGTGACATCAGTAAAATAACCACGGATCTGTACATCGAGATCTGACTACAGCACTCATGACAGCAGCCCCTTCCAATGGCATCTTAAAGAGGTCAGATGCAGAGCCTAACCTGATGGATGCTATGTTTTTCTCATGCAAAGCTTCATATCTCTAAAGTGTATGTTGAGCAATAATTTCACTAGCACAGTATTGGACTGACTGACTGAGTTTGGTTTTACGCCGCTTTTAGCAATATTCCAGCAACATCACGGTGGGGGACGGTGGGGGACACCAGAAATGGGCTTCACACATTGTACCCATGCTGGGATTTGAACCCGGGTCTTCGGCGTGACGAGCCAACGCTTTAACCACTAGGCTACCCCACCACCCCCACAGTATTGGATTCACCTCTAACTATAAAATTACTTCAAGATGTATAATATCAAATTACCTATGTGATGCTGTAAGTTTAACTGAACACATTAAACTGTTTTGAAAATAAGTCACTGCTAAAAGTTATTCATTATATCATTATGCATATAAAAAAAAAGCAATATCTCACAAACATTTTATGTTTCAGTATGTTCATTGGTGATTTGATGAATATAGATACATGCACCCATGGTGACTAACATGGAATTTCCAAAATTCATTTCCCAAAGTAAATATCTGTTATTTACATTTCCAAACATACACTAAAACTGCTGTAAATGATGATTTTGTAATCTGTCCAAAATGTACTGGTTCAGCAAGCATTGTGCATCGGAGACTTCAGCAAAGAGAAAAGTAACTGCTGATTCGGTTCCAAGCTTCTGACATGTGATCCATACATGATGTGGATGTCTCTTGTGATTATCTGGCTCTGTTTGAAGTTTATCCAAACAGGTTCTTGAAATTATTTGTGCCTATGGATGAAACTTGATGACCACTTCTAACATGACACCAAACAGCATATCTCCGCAGTGACACCTGACATCACCACCAAGGAAAGTTTGGTGTCCTGGGATGACTATCTTCTTGACTAGCTTTTAAAATGAGAAAATAACCAAGGCATATTTTGTGGCTTTTGGGGGTAAGCACTCAATGAAATCAAGACAAAGACAAAGCCACAACTGAGAAAGGTGTGCTCTTCCTTCACGACAACATGCCAGGGCACAAATCAGTCAGTGCCATTGCTACAATCCACAATTGAGTCTGTGAACTTAATCAGCATCAACTGTTCCTAAACATGAAGAAAGCTCCAGCCAGACGCCATTATGACTCAAACAATAGCATCAATGGAGGACATTATGACATCAAAAAGAAGGATCTACAAAACTTAAATGCCAGCATTGTTGACAAACATGTATAAATGTGAAGGGAGTATCTTGAAAATCATATGTCCTTCCGGTTGAGTCTTTTCATGTAAGAACATATTGATGACTCCTTACGTATTTGCGAGAATGTGGTTTTATGGAATATTATGGCGTGCATGGAAGGTTTTGGTTGGAAGGCACATGTGTTTTGGGATCACCAGCCAGGATGTGGGACAGGTAAAACATCCACTCACCTGACACAGCATCAGCTACCCTCGTTGTCAAGACAGCAGCAATGCCTTTGTCATAATAATACTCCGGCTGAAACAAGAGATACAGTCTGTCAAACATCTGTGCTGATCAAGAATACTTTGCAATCCTTGTGACTTTCTTAATGTGCCTCCTGCCTTTGACCAAATGACCCGAGTTGAAATTGGTTTGGCCTCTGCTGATATTTGTTATAATGCATTTGGTAAATATTGCAGCTTCCATTTTTCAGATCCATGTCCAGCTGTTACTGCCTGATCACAACACATACACACTTCAGACATTCTGATTCTCTTCAACCAATCCATATATCAATGCTTGACACAAGACAACTTCTCGCTTTTTTGCTTCAAGCAAAATATAACTGCCACTATAATTTTGGATGTGATAAACAAAATGAAATTAATGGTAATAGTTTTCTTGTTACAGAGGAATACTTGAATAAACAACTCTTCTTTTACTCATTTCTATTTCTGATGCAGCACTAGACTCCCAACATGGAAGCTGGTTCTGTAATTTCCACAAACCACCAGGAATCATCTTCCCCTGCATGAATTATATATGTTCTCACTCCACCTTATGTCAAACATAACTCACATGCTCAAACCAGGCATGTATAATTCACAGTGGAGGGTCTGATCAAGACTCCATACTTCCCGGATATGCTGATACGACTCTATATCACCTGCTCAGATATGCCTAAGGTTGGTAATAAGTTTCACGTGTGTGAAGGGTTTAATGAGCTATACAATCAGTATGCAATAAATCTCTCTGAGTTAACAAATCACAAAGATAGTTTTCCATGTATTTGCCTAGCAGCTAAATCAAGTGTGGACCGACTTCAGACACGCAGCATGTTATAGATATTGTATATATTCATATACACACAAATGCAGACATCAGATCCTCAGATGATTTCAATTTGTTCCCCGCTAATGGATGCATATCCATTTTAGTTCTCTACTCCCTTGGGAGTATGGTATACAACCCCAGCTGCCTTCAAGCACTGAAGGCTTCCTCCTCACAGATCAGGCCAGCTGGCTGAGTGGACAGAGGTACACTGGAAGTTAGTCACGCGCAGGGTTCCACAATTTGACACTTGTGTATATGCTGTATGAACACATCTGTATTTCTGAATCAAAATGGTGGACAGGATGACCTGCCAAATAAGGGGCATGATCTGACTGTCCAATCAGATTGCTGGCCTTAAGATGAGTAATGTTGAAACTTTTAATGTTTTAATGAACTTTATAAGGAAAAAAAGGAGCAGTAAGTTTACGCCTTTAATCATCACAGCATGTATTGCCTGACATATGAAAAAATCTAATGTGAAATTCCTCGCTTACTTGATCAATTTTTTAACCCCTTTTCACACCTGCAGCTGGGGCAAGTCCCTGAGGGATCGATTTTCTGGAAGTGTTGCAATCAAGTATTCAGCCAGCTGTCAACAGGTGTGTGAGGCACTTCCACCTGTCAGACCTCAGGAAACATCAAACAGGGTATTTTCAATAAAAACAGGCTATACTCCACCATACAACCTATGATACAACTTCCTCTCCCTATCAATTCATGGAACCAGATAGGCTCCAAGTACTGTCTGGAGCGTCACGTTCAGCTTGACCACAAACAACTTCTTAGTACTGTAGGCAGAAGGGTAGCACAGTTAGTAATGGTTTGCATATCAGAATTCCAAACATGGGTAGAAAATATGAAGAAGGTTCAAGGTTGTGTGTGTCATCCACCACACTGTATCGATGAGATGTTACTGACTGGAGGTTAGACATAAGGTCTATGTTCCATCCCCAACAGATGTAAGGTCTATATTCCATCCCCAACAGACGGAAGGTCTATGTTCCATCCCCAACAGACTTAAGGTCCATGTTCCATCCCCAACAGAAGGAAGGTCTATATTCCATCCCTAACAGACGGAAGGTCCATGTTCCATCCCCAACAGACCCCCCAACAGATGTAACATGTTCCATCCCCAACAGACTTAAGGTCCATGTTCCATCCCCAACAGACTTAAGGTCTATATTCCATCCCCAACAGACATGAAGGTCTATGTTCCATCCCCAACAGAAGGAAGGTCCATGTTCCATCCCCAACAGACATAAGGTCTATATTCCATCCCCAACAGACATAAGATGTTCCATTCCATCCCATCCCCAACAGGTCTATGTTCCATCCCCAACAGACATAAGGTCCATGTTCCATCCCCAACAGAAGGAAGGTCTATATTCCATCCCCAACAGACTTAAGGTCCATGTTCCATCCCCAACAGACATAAGGTCCATGTTCCATCCCCAACAGACTCCATCCCCAACAGACATAAGGTCTATATTCCATCCCCAACAGAAGGAAGGTCCATGTTCTATATTCCCAACAGAAGGTCTATGTTTCATCCCCAACAGTCCCAAACAGGGAAGGTCTATATTCCATCCCCAACAGAAGGAAGGTCTATATTCCATCCCCAACAGACTTAAGGTCCATGTTCCATCCCCAACAGAAGGAAGGTCTATATTCCATCCCCAACAGACATAAAGGTCTATGTTCCATCCCCAACAGACATAAGGTCTATGTTCCATCCCCAACAGAAGGAAGGTCCATGTTCCATCCCCAACAGACAGACATTAAGGTCCATGTTCCATCCCCAACAGAAGGAAGGTCTATATTCCATCCCAAATCAGAAGGAAGGTCTATATTCCATCCCAACAGACATAAGTCTATGTTCCATCCCCAACAGACATAAGGTCCATGAAGGAAGGTCCATCCCAAACAGACATAAGGTCCATGTTCCATCCCATCCCCAACAGACTTAAGGTCCATGTTCCATCCCCAACAGACATAAGGTCCATGTTCCATCCCCAACAGAAGAAGTCTAGGTCCATCCCCAACAGAAGGAAGGTCCATTCCATCCCCCAACAGAAGGAAGGTCTATATTCCATCCCCAACAGACATAAGGTCCATGTTCCATCCCCAACAGACATAAGGTCCATGTTCCATCCCCAACAGACATAAGGTCTATGTTCCATCCCCAACAGACATAAGGTCTATATTCCATCCCCAACAGACATAAGGTCCATGTTCCATCCCCAACAGACATAAAGGTCTATGTTCCATCCCCAACAGACATAAGGTCCATGTTCCATCCCTATGTTCCATCCCAAACAGACATAAGGTCCATGTTCCATCCCCAACAGACTTAAGGTCCATGTTCCATCCCCAACAGAAGGAAGGTCTATGCTCCATCCCAACAGACATAAGGTCTATATTCCATCCCCAACAGACATAAGGTCCATGTTCCATCCCCAACAGACATAAGGTCTATATTCCATCCCCAACAGACATAAGGTCCATGTTCCATCCCCAACAGACATAAGGTCCATGTTCCATCCCCAACAGACATAAGGTCTATGTTCCATCCCCAACAGACTTAAGGTCCATGTTCCATCCCCAACAGAAGGAAGGTCTATGCTCCATCCCAACTGACATAAGGTCTATATTCCATCCCCAACTGACATAAGGTCTATGTTCCATCCCCAACTGACATAAGGTCTATGTTCCAACCCAACAGAAGTAAGGTATATGTTCCATATAATGTCCAAGGTCTATATGACATGTGCTGCTGAGTTCTATGTTCTGTCGTCAAGTACCCATGGAAATGTCAAATAATTCCTGATTCCCGAGTGTGATTAATGGAGAAGATACTTTGAGTACCGTACCAAGAAATTCTGGCAAAAAATACCCTAGAAAATTTCAGAAAGGTGCTAACTGGATCTCATTCCTGAAACAATTGTATTTCCCAAAAATGTGCACAGATTCGTTGTCCTAATGAAAACCTATGATATATCGATATACAACAGTCGGCAGATTATAGTGCCTGGTCTTATCTTTGACAGCTCTTGAGGCAGAAGCTGTATAATCAGTAATTACCATTCTCACAACATGGCTGTTTCATGTCCACGGAGAATCTAGCAGAGCCACACATGTTTTGTATAGCATTAGTAGAAAAATAGTGATTGCACTGTCAAAACCTTACTGTACACAAGGAAAATTAAATACATACACTTCAGACCTCTTATTATTGTAAGCCCAATCTTGCGCTTCGGCATCAAGAATCTCCTGGGAAATTTATAGTCGTTCTTATTAACAGATATGTATCCGTAAATTTAGCTGTTTCCATAGAAATGAGGGTATTAATGATTCAATGACTTTAAACTACAGTTAATAATGTTCAACTATCAGTGATGCCCATTTCTGAAGACAAAATATAGGGCTAAGTGGTTGTGTGAGTGGATATTTTGGACAAATAGTATGTGAATGTGGTTTTATTCCACTCTTACCAATATTTCAGAAAAGGATCTGATACACCAGTAGAGGTCATCACACTTTGCACCCATGGCAAATGAACCAGGACTTTATGTGACACAAGCAAGAACTCTAACCACTGGACTATTCCACCATTCAGGAGTGTCATTGTCAGTGTATAAACCGGGGCCACATGGTTAAACATTAAAGTTGTATTTCTAAAATCTATGTATGCCTGTCCAGCTGAACAGAATCTATACTTTACATGATCAGAAACTCTAATTTCAAACTGGATGCAAATTAATGAGAGCCCAAGACCACCATCTGATCCAGAACAACAAGGAACAACGTTATTGATAAAGCTGAATTTGATTAAATCACTGAACAAATATAATTCATAACTAAAAAGTCAAAATTTCCTTAATTGTGTGGGAATCAAATGCCAAACAAACTGATGACATTATCAAACACAATTAGCCCATTTTTAGTTGAGTGGGAGCACCATCACTACAAGCACCTGCTCATTATCAACAATCGGTCAATAAAGGTACGATCAGTAAACCTTAAATTACTCTTCCTTTAATGATGATCATTAAGATAATATTTGTTGCAATTGTCACAAACATGAAAATGCTCCACATCCAAACCAATTACTAGTTAATCAATATCACAAATCCACTAATGCAGACTGTTTCACCATGTTTGCCTAAATAGCAGTTTAATGACTCTAGTGGACCTTTGTTGAT